ACTGGGCAATGTTTCATTCTGTTGTACATGAGATCACCATGAGTTGAAGTTGACTTGATGACACTTATCTAAGATGCTCCCATGTGCATAAGCTCTACTGTTCATTTTAGCTGGCTGCAGTGCGAAAAGATGTGGTAGCCAATTTTTGTTGAAGTTTTAATCAAATTCTCTCAATCCTAGACTCTATTTTACAAACATCTACTGACCATCTGTTCTGGGCCAGGCCTTCAGCCAACTTCAGAGAGAACAAGATGAATTAGACATAGTCCCTGCCTGCAAGGAGTTTACAATCTAGCATCTTCTGTGGACTTCTGAAAGGGGAAAATTCCAGGGTTTGTACTTGTTTGCTTTGTCTTTTGAGGGTAGAAATGCAGTTCACAGGGACTCCCAGCCGCCTGCCCCACTCCTCCCAGGGCTCATTCTCTTCCTTCCTCACCACGCAGAGGGGTGGAGCAGCTTTGCTGGTCTCTGTAATTTCAGCCACAAAGAGTGGCTCCACCCCTTGTCCTGGTGAAACTGGGCTGTCCTGTAATTACTGCCGTGCTGCAACCTGGGGCCATCTGGTAAATGTAGATTTCAAAACAGTGCCCGTAATTCCTGCCAAAGTGATACTGCCAGCATCAAGCACAAACATTGGTTGACCTACTAGCCTGGCCTGAAGGTTGCACGCAGCCTCCTGAAAATGAAAACTGGAGATGTGAACGCAGCTAGTACCTAGAATAAGCTCACACACACGCACACATTCACACACAGAGATAGAAGCACACACACTGGCGATACAAGCTCAGCAACCTCCTAAAATAAGATCATGCACACACACATACACACACACTGGCGAGATAAACTCAGCAATCCCCTAGATCTCACACACATATGTGTGCACACGTATACTTATATGCACACACACACATGCACACACATATTGGCCTCTTCCCGGTGCTTTGACTCAATCATTCATGCGATTCTATCCCCAATTTCTAGAAGAAGGAAGTTGTCCTGAGCACAGGGCATTGAAAAATAAAAAGCGATTCAATAGTCCCCCAGAGAGGAGAGCAATAGGGCAGGGTTGGGTTTCCTCTTGCTCTTGCACAGGAACGTGCGGAAGTGGAGTTGGTACAAGAGTGTTCTGCCCCTGATCGTGGAAGCTGACTGCACGGGTCAGGTTTGCTGTGTTTAAAAAGAGAAAGTTGCAGGTGTCATTCGACAGAGGTTCTGAGCACCTACAGGTAGTATACTTTGCCATGTGCCAGACATGCAGAGACATGTTCTGGAAGTGAGTTGATGGGCAATCTTTTTAGGCCACCAGAAGAGAAGAAGAATACTAACTTAAAAAATACCAAGAATGTACTATGTTCATGCCTGGGGATGAGGGGTTTACATGCTCATGCAATCCTCACAATCACCCTGGGAAGAGGTTACTTTTATCACTCCCATTTCACAGGTGAGGAAACTGAACTTCAGACAGATGAAGCAACTTGCCCAAAGGTCACCTATCTAGTAGGTGTTGGAGCTGGTATGTGAACCAGGTCTGTGTGATCTAGTGAATGTGGGCAGCCAGTCTGCTGCTCCCCATACAGTGGCAGGCCTACTGGCTCTGCTGCCTGAGAGAGCTCCATGGGACAGAGGAGGATTGCAGAGGCTCCCAGACAGCCCTAGTCACAGGACGGTCACAGGAGTGAGGGAGGGGGTAAAAAGGGCATTCATTTTCTTGTACTCTGCAGCAAAATCTTCTCCCTTCCCTGTTCTTTTTGAACTTCAGGTGCATTCAGTTGAGATAATCCTACGCCTCAGTTTCTGGCCCCCATCATCCATTGTTACCACCCGTCTATCAGCTTGTCTTACTGTGGTGACTTGAGCGTTGCTATTATGCTGGAAGAACGAACAACTCTGTCTTGGCAGAAGTCAAGTCAGAAAGCTGCTTAGAAGCAAGACTTTGTCTCACATACTTTGGACATGTTATCAGGAAGGACCTGTCCCTGGAGAAGGACATCATGCTTGGTAAAGAGAAGGTTAGTGAAAAAGAGGAAGACCCTCAATGAGGTGGATTGACATAGTGGCTGCAACAATGGGCTCAAGCATAACAAAGATTGTGAAGATGGTGCAGGACTGGGCACTGTTTCCTTCTGTTGTACTTAGGGTCGCTATGAGCTGGACCTGACTTCATGGCACATAACAACAACGACGTGATGCTGGAAGCTATACCACTGACACTGCAAATACCAGCAGGGTCATCCATGATGGGCAGGTTTCAGCGGAGCTTCCAGACTAAGACAGACAGACTGGGAAGAAAGGCCTGGCAATCTGCTTCTAAAAATCAGTCAGTGAAAACCCTATGGGTCATAACAGAACATTGTTTGATGTAGTGCTAGAAGATGAGCACTCTAAGTTGGAAGGCACTCAAAATACGCAGTGGCTGCAACAATGAACTTGAGCACACCAATGATTGTGAAGATAGTTAAGATCTCACAGCTAGTAAGTGGAAGAGCTGGGATCTAAATGTAGGCAGGTTGGCTCTGGAACCTACACTGTGTGCTGCTGTGTGCAGAGTAAAATTTGGATGCTGGAGTCAGACTACTTGGGTCCAAATCCCACCTTCACCATTTTACTGGCTGTGTGGCCTTGGGCAAGATACTAGCCTCAGTTGTCTAAACTGCTGTTTAAAAATGAGAGTTGTAACAGCACATACCTTCTAGGGTTGTTGTGGAGTTAAATGGGATAGAGCATGTTAAGGGTTCAAAATAGTGCTTGGTACATAATAAACCCATTATCATGCAGAGCCTTCAGGAACCTGGGGCCATTCGAGGTGGTTGCTCTTTTTTTTTAATAATATTTTATTGTGTTTTCTGGTAAAGTTTACACAGCAAGTTAGGTTCCCATTTAATAATTACTACACATATTGTTCTGAGACATTGGTTACATTTTTTATAATGTGTTAACATTCTCATTATTTCCCTTCTGGATGTTTTGTTTCCAGTAATCTGTTTACCTTGTCCCCTTACCCTTTCATCTTTGCTTTGGAGTAATTGCTGACCATTTGGACTCATACAGATGATTTTTTAAAGGTGTGCAGTACCCATTGGTAATATTCTATGTTTTATGAGTCAATCTGTTATTCAGCTAAAAGGTACCCTCAGAGCGTAATTTCAGTTAAAGTTTATGGAGTATTTCAGGGCTATAGTCTCGGGGAGTTGTCTAGACTCAATTGGCTCAGTAAGTGCGGACTTTTTAAGAATTTGAGTTCTGTTCCACATTTTTGTTCCCTTCTTATCTGGGGAGGTGGTTGCCCTTCAATCACACTAGCTGAGTGTGTGACTGAGGGCAATTAAACAGAAACGAATGACTACAGAAGTGAAGGCGGGTTTGAGACAAGTAAGTCACTATGTGCAAAACTTAGGTATAGCAGGATGGATGTGCCATGCAAACACTTGAAACCACTACAGTCCATTCTAGAATTCTTCTTAACCTCCTTCAATTTCTAGGCCTTTTCTGGATTGTGTAGTAAATATCCATAGCCAGACAGCTTCATATAAGGACTCCTAAAAGGAGGCAATTGTCCAATAAACAAGATAGACAGCCCATTCATTCTGGGACCAGTCTATACTGACAAAAATCCTTGGTAAGAGTGGTTGGCTTTGTCTTTTTGTCTTTGTTTCTCTCTCTATACCATCAAGGGTTCCTTTCATTTAAATCCCCCGTAGGCACCACCGTATACAATACTATAGTTCTCTGGCTGGCCATGCTAACCACCCCACATCTGAGAAGCTGTTCTGCTGGGGAAGATAGAGTACTCAAGTGCCCCTATGACAACTACCCCAGAAGAGAGAGCAGGAAGAATAGGAACTCCCTGTTTAAAGACAGATAGGTCCAATGAACTATCTTTGACCACAGTTTTCCTTTAGGGATAGAAAAAGCTGAAGTTGGATGCTATTTATGGATACATACAGAGAGAGAATTAGCAACCTGAAGGAGTAAGCTTTGCAAAAGCAATGATTAACAGGCAGTGGTGGATAAATTTTCATAAAGGTATTCAAAAAGAGGGGACAGAGTTGGGAAATCAGAAAACAACCCATCAACCAAAAATAGTTCAGATATGACTAGAACAGTTCAGAGGAAAATGGACACAAGGAACTTGGGCCTTTCTGAGGCAATTGACTTAGTTAACTGGACTGTTTCTTGGCTCCTTTCGGAGACTGTGAGTCTCCGTGCTGGGTGCAGAGTGTGGCAAGCTGGCTGGACTTGGCTGGGGAAGGGAGGGCTCAGATATCCCTCAGAGGGGGCTAAACTTTGAGAGGGAGGCTTTAGGTAATGAAAGTCTTGGATCGCTTTAGTGTGGGTTTAAATTCTTATTAGGTGACTACCAGTGAAAATAAGGAGCCCTGGTTGCACAGTGGTTAAGAGCTTGGCTGCTAACTCAAAGGTCAGCAGTTCGAACCCTCCAGCCACTCCATGGGAGAAACATGTGATGGTCTGCTTCCATAAAGATTACAGCCTTGCAGACCCTGTGGGGCAGTTCTACCCTGTCCTATAGGGTCGCTATGAGTCGAAATCGACTCGATGGCAACAGGACCAGTGAAAATGAAATGAGTCCCGGGACTTGGGATAATACTATTTAGTTTAAATCTAACAGTCCCTTGCCCCCACACACTGCCCATGAACTGTGACCGCACTAATTTGAGACTCTTAAGATTCCCAAGGTGGACAATCAAACTGGTATAAACATGGTCCCAGAGTGAATGACCGCAGAGCCAGCCTCCTCTTGAAGGTGCACTTACATAGTTATGTGTATACAATAACACACCCTGTGTGCCATTGGACTGCCTGTGTTGAAAGACAATGTTTTGTTGAGGAGGCTGGGCACCCTGGAAGGAAGTTGCTCAATGTAAGTGGAAACCAAGCCCTAGCTTTGGTTTCCTCGGGAAATTTTGCAGTAACTGTTTCTCTGTAGTTAGTGAACCTGGGTTTCACAAAGTCCTCAGCCAGCCACAGACTTCTTGTTTAGACACAAACAGTGGACAAAACTAGAGCCACCAAACCGACCGTCTTTGCCAAGCTGTCACCGTGCAGGTGTTCATGTCTTGGAAGTTCACCTTTGAAGGAACCACCCAGTCTGGGGGCTTTCAAACTTTCTCTATGTCTACGGTGAAACAAAGGGAAGGGGGAGGCAAGTGAGGGGTGGGTTTCTGGCAGCTTCACTGATATCTATTGCATACAAACTGGACCACATTTGAAAAGGGGTTCTTTTGGGGATGAAAGGTAAAGAGGTGTTAACAGCCACGTGTTAGTCTAACTTTGCCATTTTGCTGATGAGGAAATGAAAGTACAGAGAGGTTAAGTGGCTTGCCTAAGGGCATGAGTTTACGGTAAGTGGCAGTCAACACTGGGGGTCAAGACTCTGACTCCAAGTCCAGTGCTTGTTCTCATTACCTTTTGTTGTTAGCTGCTGTCAATTTGTCCCCTACTCACGGCTACCCCATGTACAACAGAATGAACACTACCCAGTTCTGCGCCATCCCCGTGATCACCTGCAGATCAGACCATGGTGATCCATAGGGTTTTCATTGGCTGATTTTCAGTAGTAGATATCCCAACCCTTCTTGGTAGTCCACCTTAGTCTGGAAGCTCCGCTGAAACCTGTTCAGCATTATAGCAACGTGCAAGCCTCTACTGACAGACGGGTGGTGGCTGTGTATGTGCATTGGCTGGTAATCAAATCCAGGTCTCCAGAGTGGAAGGTGAGCATTCTACCACTGAACCACCACTGGCTCACTCTCACTCCTAAACCGGTTGCCAGTGAGTCAATTCGGACTCATAGTGACCCTACAGGACAGAGCTGAACTGTCCCATAGGGTTTGCAAGGCTGTAGTCTTTACAGAAGCAGACTGTCACATCTTTCTCCCATGAAGCAGCTGGTAGGTTTGAACCACCGACCTCTTGGTTAGCAGCCCAGCACTTTAACCACTGCACCACCAGGACTCCTTACTCTCACTACTACTCAGCACTATAACACTGATGACGGCAGGGCAACAGGCACTGTTGATAAAGCCTCCCTATAGATAGATGCGTAATCAACCAACATTTATTGACTCTTAACTATGCAGGCAGCAAAGCCCTGGTGGTGCAAGTGGTTAAGCATTTGGCTACTAACCAAAAGGTTGGCAGTTCAAATCCACCAGCCACTCCTTGGAAACCCTATCAGGCAGTGCTACCCTGTCCTATAGGGTCGCTCTGAGTTGGAACAGACTTGACAGCAATGGGTTTGTTTTCGGTTTTATGCAGGCAGCATTGTGCTGGCCTGCTTGAGGGACAGGAAAAAAATTAAATCATGTCTTCTCTCCTCAGAAATGCTTTGAGATGTGGCACTTGTTCAAAGCACGTAAATAAGAGATAAAAACAAGGGTGGTGGAGTGTCTGAATAAATGCCATAGGAATTAGAAGAGGACAGACACTCTATGAAGAACGTTGGTGAACGAAGGCTTCACGGAGGAGGTGGACTTGGAGCTGAGCCTCAGAGGATGAGGATAAGCCCTGTAAGAACAAAGTGTCAACCACGGAAATGGAGGGATCAGTGAGGAGATGGGGGGGTCTCCTGCGGTGGGGCAATGTTCACACTAGGAACCACCGAGAGAGAAGGCAGAAAGGGAGGGTGGGTCTGGATGGCCGCCAGCTGCACAGGAGGATTTTAACATTTATTTGATAATGCTCTACTAGGCGCTGGGGGTTTCAGAAGAAAGAACAGTGATGGGGTCACAGAGTGCCAGGAAGTTTCGTGTGGCTACAAGCAGCTGGACACGGTAGACTGGAAAGAGCTGGATGCCAGAGAGAACTGCACAGGGAACGATGAGCGCCCAGGAAAGATGAGGCGGGTGGCTGCTTGTGATGGGCTGGACCCTCGCTGCGTGGCTCCCCCTACAGCCCTCCCATCCAACTCATCTGCAAGTCCCGGTAATTCAGTATCAGAAATGTCTTTTGCAGCGACCCCGTATACATCCAGCCCTTATCTCCACACCCACTGCTGAGTCCTTAGATCAGACTGCCACCACCCCCCACCTGGCCTCCTCACTGCCCTGGGTCCCTCTGTTCTCCGTTTTCACGGCCGCCAGGATTCGCTGCTAAAAGTCAGTGCACTCGTGCCATTGCTCTGCTCTAGGGCTCTTATGCAGACTGAGTTCACGTTCTTTTGCACCGTGGACCAGGCGCTTCAAAGCCTGACACAGATACTTCATTCCCCCACCCCGCTTGCACCCTTCACTCCAGGCTGACCTTCTCATAGCTCCTTCCTATAAGCAATATGCATTACCCTCTGTACATTTCTGAACCCCCCGTGCCTTTCTGGCTCTGCACCTTTGCAAACATAATTCCTTCTTCACCGAAAGTTTTTGTTCTAAATTTTCTTCCTAACTTTTCTTTTAGACTTACCTCAAAAGCATCACCTTCTTGGTGGAGGCTTCCTTCCTTGGAGCCCAGGGTTCCTGTTTTCTGTCCCATCCCCATCTGGGTGAGTATGTGCCTCCTGAAAGGGGGAGCCTGGAGCCCAGGGCCTGATGGATGCTCATTCTGTGCCTTCCCAGGGCCTGGTATGGCTCAGTGTCCATAGCGGGAGAAAAAAAAACCAAACCCATTGCCACAGAGTCGATTCCAACTCATTGTGACCCTATAGGACAAAGTAAAACTGCCCTATAGGGTTTCCAAGGAGCGCCTGGTGGATATGAACTGCCGATCTTTCGGTTAACAGCCATAGCTATTAACCACTGTGCCACCAGGGCTCCTGTCCATAGGAAGGAGCTTAATAAATGCTTGATGAGTTAATGAGTGAGTGAAAGAGGTAAAAGAGGAGTAAAAATGAAGTCAGGCTTTCTGGCTATTGGGGCAAAACGAGCAGAGGGCACCAAGGGCACATGTGGTCCCACCGAGTGGCCAAGTCGGCCCCAAGAACTGCTCAGACTTGCGCTTACTGCGGCCTTCATTCCTCTGTTCCTGAGGCCCCCTCCGCAAACTCTGAGGCTGAGATTAGGGCTCCGGGAAGTGCACATCTGGCCAGCTGACTGCAGGGGTCATAGCAGCAGAGGATGAAGACTCTTTAAAAATGATTTTGATGTTAAGGGCAAAAAACCAACGTTTTAGAAAGTCAGGATGATTAAAAAAAAAAAACAAAAAAACCATTATCCCACAACCCCAATATTATTACTATTATTTTTCAAATTATCTCCTAGTCTTTTTCCTTTTTTCTGTAGTTGCAGTTACATTTTTTTCATATAACATCTAAGCAGAAAATAAAAATTCGTGATAAGACTCCTTTTACTCTTCTCCCCATGTTAGGCATACAATAAGTGCTTAGTAAGTAATTTTAAGACAGACTGATGGGTATTCCGACTAGAAGCTTCTCTCAAAGGCAATGTGTCTGTCACCATGACCCTTCTAGAAGGAAGCAGTAATCATCTCTCTCCATTACCTCCAGACATCTCTTTCCTGCCTGGTACACACTTGCCTTCCTTTGTATTGTGTTTTTCATTCATTTGATCTATCATTCCTTCCACAAACATTTACTGAGTGCAAACTACAGAGGAGCAGCCCCTGGGCTAGACCCTGCGCTTCCTGCCCTGTGGACTAGACAGCTTGGGGCCTGTTGCATCTGCCCTTAGGAGAACCTGGCAGTCCAGACCCCTCTCCAGGCCCCTTGGCCTTCCTGGTGGTGGCTGTTCGGGACTTGTGCAGCTCGAACTGAAAATCTGTGTGTGCCCAGGCCCCTTCCACTGTGCTTGCTTTACCCAGAAGCAAAATAATCATCCAGCTGTCCTGAGAACAGCCAACGGTTGAGATTGTGTCAGCGTGTCTTTGTTCAGTTCCTATAAAGGATGGCCTATTAGGTAATAAATCCATCCTCAATGGAACACACGCCTTTTGAAAGGCCCGAAACAACCTATTGCCACATCTCCCGTTCGAGCCCACAAACAGTTCTTTCACGATAAAAGAACAAGCTTAACTAAATAGGAAGAGTCTCAAAATGTCTTTTCTGGCTTAAAAAAATGGAGAATCAGGCTTAAGGGGCTCACAAAGTACAGTATTATAATGCACAAGGAGAGCTAAATATGAACTTATTAAGCTAGAGGGAACCGACGTGAACGAAACGGGCATTGTCCCCGGATGGAGGCCAAGGATCTAAAACGGCTTTTCTTTGGCTGCAAGGAACTTCAGTGATGGCGGGCTTGTAAAGGCAACGTAGGCATGGGACAGTGTTCAGAGGAAGGGACTGTTTGGATACACTGGTGGAATTCGCCCCAGATCCTGAGACCTGAAGAATCACCTTGACCTGTGAGATGACGGAGCTCTCCAGCCTCTTCATTAACTTTCACAAACCCAGGATGGAGGCAGGACGGAAGGTGAAATTTCTTACCTGCGGAACTCTTGCAGGGCAGGCAGCCCATCAAGGTGCTCCAGAATTGCTGGTCTCTCTGTAAGCAGAACCGCTTCCTGCTCCTTGGCTTACCACGCTCCTACACTCACAACACTCTCACATGTACACACTCACACACTCAAATATTATCCCTGGGCCCAGGCTCATGGGCTGTTGTGACTCAGGCCCACATTAGGGCCAGTTCTTTCCTGGACACAGAGGCCGTTTACTCTCTGTCAAGCTCATTCCTCCCACTGGAAACTTGTGTCTGTTCCTCGGCCTCTCTGCCTGGAGTCTGACTTCTCACATCCTGACCCTCTCTTGGAATGCCCGGCCCTTTGTTCTCCCATCTCCCAGCTTAGGTCTTCTGATCTTGGCCGGGACCAGGAGCTGGGAGGCCTAGACTCTACTGATCTTGGACAAGTAGCTTAACACTCTAAACCTTAGGATTCCCAGCTGTAAAATGAGTAGCTTAAGCGAGCACAGTGGCTCTCAAAGTGTGGTCCCCTGACCAGCAATATCAGCATCAGCTGGAAACTTACTGGAAATGCAAATTCTCGGACCACATCCAGACCTAATTCATCAGAACACCTGGGAGGCGGAGCCTAGCAATCTGTGTTTTAATCAACCCTTTGGGTGATTCTGATGCAGGCTGAAGTTTGAGAACCATTGAACTAGAAGCTCTCTAAAATTCCTCCTGGGTAATAAACCTCCAGTTTACTTGCTGTAAGGATTAAGTGCGATAATGTTGATAGCTCTTATTTATGAAAAGCCTACATTGTTCCCGGCCTCTTCCACACATTCTCCCTACAACAACCCTGTAAAGTAGGTGTCATTAATAGTATTTTCTATGAGGAAAATGAGGCCTAGAGAGGTTAGGTAACTTGCCAAAGGATTCACAGCTGGAAATGAGCAGAACAAGGATCTGATCAGGGGCCTGTCTCTGTCTACAACCCCACATGGGTCATCACAGCCTCAATCACATGCTCTGGGGCTGCAGAGGGGGCAAGAGAGAGATTAAGGAGGTAGGGACAGGGCAGACTTGGCAGCAGGAGGTCAAGAGCAAAGCACAAAGGAATAGGGATGGGGCATGAGAATGGATCATCTCACAGCTGAGGCCTATAAAAAGGAAATCAAGCTGAGGCAAAAGGAAACTTGTCTCATAAACTGGAAATCTAGCCAAGACCTGGTAATAGATGCTCTTGAAACTATGTATGTGGCTTGCTTATAAAAATTATTATGTGTATTGAGTGCAGAAAAGGGCACTGAAGTGGCCAAAGACGGTTGCAAGCGTTTGAACTTCCCTGTGAGTCTGGACTCGGGTGCAGCTGTAGTTCCCTTGTGGGCAGTCCAATTTGGTCATGTTAGGAAGTGCGCCAGGGGGGTTTCATGGACTGCAGTTTCACCCCAAGTGATACTAGGTTGAGGGTTCCATCTTCTGTATGGAGAGAAGTCTTTTGTAGTTTTTCGTTTTGGGGAAGTGTTTTGCATAACGTTATATGGTGTGCCTTGCACAAAATTTCATTGCAACATGATTAGGCTGGGGACTCCACACCTCCTATGACCAGTTAAGAATGAACCCTCCTCACCCAAGCCCCTCCCATGTGACCCCTTCGTTTCACGAGATCTCCTGGTGATTCCGTGATCCAGGATGCAGCAATCACCAGTGTGGGCTCAGCTCACCTTCTGTCTTAGGCTGCCCGCTTCATTCTTTTGAAAGTGTGGACCTCGTGTCTGATAATTTTGGATTATCTGCAATTTTGAAGAGGTGTGTCAGTACTCTCCTCTAGAATCAGGTAATGGTTACTGAGAGCAGCTCCCAGATGGAAGAGCAGTGCAGACAAAATCACAGTTAAAGCAGGCAGTAGAAAATAGTGACCTGTCAGCTCCTTTCCAAGATAATCTTATGTATGAGGCTGAAAAGGGACATTTACTGAGGGCATGTCCTAGGCCGGGCATTCTGCTAGCTGCTTTCCCATGGGAAAGTCCATTGGGGCTGTGGTTCCCATTTGTGGAGGAAGAAGCTGAGACTCCAAGAGGCCAGGTGATACAGCAGCAGAGAGGTAAAGCCAGTGCTTGAACCTGTGTCTCCTGACCCCAGATCCTGTGTTCCTTTTGTTGCTGTTGTTAGTTGCTGTCAAGTTGGCCCCTGACTCATGGTGATCCCATGCACAGTGCATGCTGCCTGGTCCTGGGCCATCCCCATGATCAGTTTCAGATTGGACTGTTGGGATTAGGGTTTTCAGTGGCTGGTTTTCCGAGGTAGATCGTCAGGCCTTTCATCCTAGTCCATCTTAGTCTAGAAGCTCCACTGAAACCTGTTCAGCATCACAGCAACACACAAGCTTCCATTGACTGATGGGTGGTAGCTGCAGATGAGGTTCACTGGCTGGGAATTGAACTGGGTCGTCCACGTGGAAGGCAAGAATCCTACCACCAAACCGCCACTGCTCCTCTGTTCCTTTTACCACTCCCTAAAGCCTCAGTTACAAATGAAAGCATACGGTTGCTGGATAAACTGTCTCACTGGGATTCAATTATCAAGAAGTGAACTTGCCCCAGCAATAGTTTACTCAGTGTTGGCAGAAGCCGTTCGATCTGTGCTCTCTGCCTGTATGATCAGCCTTCCTGCTCATGTTGTGCTTCCTGCTTAGGGGCGCTTGGAGCCAGCGGAGGTGTCCCAGTAATCGGCACCGCATGAATCTATAGAAGGCAAAGTTAGAGATGTCAGGTACCTCCTGCTCTGCGCAACCAGAGCATGTGGGTGCCTTCATGTGTTCTTGTAAAGTGAATAGTATTTAATAGCCATAAAATTTAATAGCCATAAAAACTTGTCAGTAATATGTAAGCATTGGATGCATCTTTGAGTAGTAAATGAATAAAACAATATGGTAAAGAGAGTCTGATCACTAATTAAGCCCATGCTAAAATGTCTCATTCCCTAACACAGGAGTCTTTTACATTTTCACAAGACTTATTAATAATGAGCTCATGACACAGAGCCCCAGGGGAGGAGGTCAGGTTCTTCTTTCTTAAGCTCCAGGTATGAAGGTAAATTCTACAAAAATGAAACAGCTGACCAGCAATTCCTGCTTTTCAAAATATAAGAAATCTTCCACAGCTGTTATTGCTGGGGGGTATCCAATGGCAGGAAGAGCTTAGGAATCAACATAGTCAAGGACTAAGTTCACAGCACTGGAGCCCTGGTAGGGCAGTGGTTAAGTGGTT